TTCCATTGAACACCCAGGACTGACCTCCTTTAGGATGGACTGGTTGGATCTCCTTGCTGTCCAAGGGACTCTCAAGAGTCTTCAACACCACAGTTCAAAAGCATCAAATCTTTGGTGCTCAGCTTTCTTTACAGTCCAACTCTCAGATCCATACATGACCATTGGAAAAACTATAGCCTTGACTAGATAGACCTTTGTTGGCATTAATATAGTATAAGGCAAGGGTTTGTCTTCCAAATAGTAAATTTTACCATCTCTTAATTTTTCTACCAAAATGAAATGTCATCTTTATAAATTCTATGTAGTTGGATATATTCTGGATTTTATTCCTGTTTATTCATTCCTACGTACATTCTTCCATCTGGTCCTTGGAATAATTTCATCTACTCATCCCAAACTGCCCATCTTATAGAGGTTATTATAAGCGGTTAACAAAACCCTTCCCCCTTTTGCATGTTTATACACAAATTTTGTGTAAGGATTGGAATATTTATACTACTAGGTCTTCCCATTCAATAATGTATAATGGAGTAGGGATCCTTGTATACAAGACAACAAATGTTTTTGGTTTTCTTCTTGAGTTTGCACCTATTAAATTTATATTAAAAAGTGAAAACCCTAAACAATTGAGAAACTAGATCATACAACTCATACTTTTTAACATTTAAATTGTATTAAAAGTATATGTCTTCACAAGTAATTTTTTAAAGAAATACTTATTGTGCTCGCTTCGGCAGCACATATACTAAAATTGGAATGATACAGAGAAGATTAGCATGGCCCCTGCGCAAGGATGACACGCAAATTCGTGAAGCGTTCCATATTTTTTATGGTCTGCAAAGCCAAACACGTTTTCACCCTGGACTTTACAGACCAAGCTTCTTCCAAGTGTGGTCCATGGGCTGTCATGTACACCACCCGGGAGCTTATTCGAAAGGCAGGACTTGGTTCTACCCCAACACTTCTAAATCAAAACCCGCACCTTAACAAAATCTTCATATGCATGTCAAAGTTTGAGAAGCACTGGCCTAGGAGGATTTCTCCAAATATTCATCACTTGGACTAGATTCAGGACAATTCACTTCTATAGCCCCCACAGGGAGGAGTTGCAAAATAAAACATAAAGTGCCCAAGGAATAGAGATGCAGATGCAGAGAACAGACTTGCGGATACAGCAAGGGAAGCAGAAGAGAGGACAAGTGAGAGAGTAGTGTCCACATAGCGACACGACTGTGTAAAGCAGCTAGCCAGTGGGACGCTGTTGTATAACGCGGGGAGCTCAGCTCGATGCTCCGTGATGACCTCGGGGGTGGGATGGCGGGGGCAGGGGAGGAAGGCTCAAGAGAGAGGGGATGTATGTATAGGCACAGCCATGCTGTTGTACAACAAAACCAACACAACGTTGTGAAGCGATTACCCTCCAATTAAAGATAAAATTTTTTTTAAATATAAAAAAAAAATACTTATTAATGTAACAGTACTTGAAAATAAAATTCATATCCCTTTTTATGTTTCAAAAACCATTTTCCATTATGACTACTCTGCACTTGATTTTGTAAATATCAAATAGAATACTTCAATTATCTGACACTAGGGATGTTTTGGATAATTGAATTTTCAAGGTGACTTAAGCACCAATACTTTTTTTCTTTTTCTGGCTGCACCATGTAGTTTGCAGAATTCTTAGTTCCCTGACTAGGGATAGAACCCAGGCCCCTACAGTGAAAGCACTGAGTCCTAACCACTGGACTTCCACAAAAGTCCATAATTAAACTGCCTCTTCCTTTATTAAACAGATTTATATTAAAAGTGATTCTTAATCCATTTTTAGGGTCATCATGATTCAGCCTAGACTCCTTCTGTCATATCCCTTTTATACTTCAATTTTAACTTGATGGAAATTTTGGACTAGGATCATCAGTTAGCAGGCTCCACCAACAATTTCCCTGTTAACTCACTCATTTATATATGTATTCATTGGACACTTACTCCACCAGGAATAACAGGCACTATAACTATTACCTCATTGTTTACAAATGTGTTGACAAAGAGAAACCTGGCAGGCTACAGTCCATGGGGTCACAAGGGTCGGATGCAACTAAACAACAAACTATACATAAAATTTACCATTTTTAAGTGCACAGATCTGTAGCATGAGCATGTTCATTGTTATACAACCACCTCCAACTTTTTCGTCTTCTGCAATGGAAATTCTATTAAGTTAAACTCCCTATTCAACCCTTTATTTGTCCTTTTTTCCTAATTAAAGCGATCAGAGCCACATTTGATGCTTTGAAACTGTCACACTTCAATTACCCATGTGTCCCAGTTTACCCTTGAGGGAAGAGTAGGATTAGGCCCTCTCTTCATTTGAAGAGTCTCAGTTTTTCCAAGTTTGTCAATTTTATCCCCAACTCATTGTTAAAGGATGTTGCCAGTTATATTTCCTACATCAAGGAAGTATTCTCTCAAATTTACAAAGCAGTAATTGTAGCAGTCTGATAATCAGGTCCTGAAAATCTATTCCTGGATTAAATTACCATCAGAGAGATACAACAGTTCCTCCTTTCACTTTCTGTAGTTTTAATTACCTAAGGTTGACCAAATAATCCAAAAATATTAAAATTCCCAGAAGCAATTCATAAGTTTTAAATTGTAAGCCACTCTGAGGGATGAACTCTTGCACCATCCTGCTTCATCCTTCTTACGATCTCCAACCATCAGCATCATCATAAATCCATGATCCAGCATCACCTGGAGCACATGATCCTCCTCCTGACATATCATCAGGTCGACTGTAACCTAACGATGCCTTTCACTCACCTAATTCATCACATGGGCACTGAATCATCTCACATTATCGCAAGTTTGAGAACGCATTCATGTACCTTTATTACAGTATGTATGTGTGTATAATTTTTTTGCCACACTGTGTGGTTTGTGGAAATCTTAGTTCCTCCACCAGAGACTGAACTGTGGCCCTGAGCAGTCAGTGGAGTCCTAACCACTGAACTGCCAGGGTATTGTATTCTCTACATACTGTGTCTTTAATCATGTTCATTATCTCTTTATGTGGCTATTAATTCTCTTCCACATTTTGGCTAACATTTTTGCTTTTTGATGATACATAAATTGTTTAAAGTATTCCGACAGTCAACAAATCAGTGTTCTCATTAGGGCAATGATTTCCAGTCTTTAAATAACCCAGCTTAAAGAACAAAAATCCTGTAGGGACCAAGAGAGAGCTTTATTTTCTAAGATAGCCGTTAGTGGCAAGTTAGCTTTTTTTTTTTTTGCAAGTTAGCTTTTTAATAAAGATGTCCGAGGTAACACATATATATGGAATTTAGAAAGATGGTAACGATAACCCTATGTGCAAAACAGAAAAAGAGACTCCTATGTATAGAACAGACTTGTGGACTCTGGGAGAAGGCGAGGGTGGGATGTTTCAAGAGAACAGCATCGAAACATGTATATTATCTAGGGTGAAACAGATCACCAGCCCAGGTTGAGTGCATGAGACAAGTGCTCGGGCCTGGTGCACTGGGAAGACCCAGAGGGATTGGGTGGAGAGGGAGGTGGGAGGGGGGACCGGGATGGGGAATACATGTAAATCCATGGCTAATTCATTTCAATGTATGACAAAAACCACTACAATGATGTAAAGTAATTAGCCTCTAACTAATAAAAATAAATGGAAAAAAAAAAAAAAACAAAAAAAAAACACAAAGATGTCCGAGGTACTTGTATTCCATAGATCTCACTGAGCTAGCATACAGATCATAATATTATCTAATTTTATTCCCATTGCTTTGAGGGACAAAACAAAGGAGGCTCATGTTTCTATACTTTTTTATAAAGGTCACCTGAAAAATCATCCACCTCTTCATTCAAACAGCTTCCCCTTTCATTACATTAGTCATTTAAGTGTGTTTTCCCATTAGAACGTGGGCTTCTTGAAGAAATAAACCATGCTATTTATCTTTTCTTCAACATTGAATACTATCAATATTGATAGTTGACAAAAAAAAGGGAGGAAAGAAAAGGGTTTTTCAAGACTCAAGCATGCAAAAGCACTAGGAAAAAGGAAATCCAAGTTAATCCAGTTATATTTTCCCACTGTACCACAATAAAGAAAGAGTCCCATTTTCAAAGAAATTAACTTTTATTTGAAAGAAGACTACTCCCCCCCACTACTTCTAAGAACTCTATACAAACAGGCTGCCTAAATCATTGTCCCAATACCAAAATTTCTAATAGCAATTATACAATTGCTTTAAATAATAAATAATAAGGGCTGTCCTTCACTGATTAAACTTTAATAAATTCAACACAAAAATCACACTTTACGTTTTTAAGTTTCAACAAATGTATTTTAAATACAACATGTTTTGCAGGAGTCCACAAGCTTTTCATTTCTAAAAAAACAAACCATGTAATTTTTAGGGTTCAAAAATTCTGTTCTTCAAAAGAAATGACCAAGTAAGCGTTTTTCCTATAGCTTCAAACTTTCTACACTCAACTATTTGACTGTTCCATGCCACCCCAGACAAACTTGACCTGACTGAACTACTACTAACTTCCCCAAAAGAAAGTTAAAAAAGGAGTTTGTAGTAAATGCAGACCTCTAATACAATGTCTAATACAATATCTAACACAAAAGAAGCTTTAAAAAGATCATTTCTTTCCTCATTTTGATAAGATAGGAGTGAATTTCCCATAAAAGCAAAAAACAAACAAAAAAATCATTTACAAAGCATAACACTGGGGGTTCCTTTTTTACTCAAGATGTTTAACTATTCAAAAATGACAATTACATCTTTAAGAATATAATAAAAGGGGTGGAAAATAGCAATACAATGGACAAAGTGTAGATGCTAAACAAACCAAAGATTTTTTTTAAGGGTTCTTTTTGAGGAGTAGGAAGGATTAGAAGCTTGGGGAAATCCAGAATTTAAAAAAAGAGAAAAAGATGTCCTCAACTGCAACCGCTCTGCTTATTAATAGCGTCCTGGAAAAGAGTTAAAAAAAAAAAAAATAAGTCAAATGACAATTACAGTTTCACTTGCCTAATATTTTCCCAACTATTAACAGTCACCATACACCCTAATTTTCTAAAATAAGCCATTAATAACAAATAAGGTTCTCAATGTGACAAGCAAAAGTATACATACTTGGGCTGTAGGATCGAGATCTTGATCGTGATCTGTATCGACTGTAATAAGGAGAAGGTGATCTTCTTCTGTAGGAAATAAAAGATTACTTAGCTAAGCACATAATCACTACATTGAAGCAGGTAAAAACAAAAATTTCATCATTCAAAATAGTAGCAGATCTAAGCTAAGCTATTAATTTTTCAATGCACCAACTATACAAGATGAATATTGGCCAACAGAAACACACATGCCTCTTCATTGCAACTACAGAGTATCAACACTGGACTGCCAGGGAAGTCCCATATTTCACTCATTTTTATCAATACACATTAAACAAATTAAAAGTGCCAATACTACTATTATCATCTAATTCAGAACAGAAGTCATAAGTTATAACACTACCTGTACCGGTAATCATAGTCTTCGTATCTGTCGTACCCACGATCGTATCCTCGATCATAGTAAGAGTCTCGACGTCTGCCGCCTCCTCCACCGCCACCCCCGCCGCCACCGCCACCACCGCCACTGCTGTAGAAAAAGGTGAAAGTTCCACATCAACAGGAATGATTATTTTCTATTATCATTTAATACAAATAGATGCTTAAATAAAATGGAAGAAGGTAAGACAGAAGTAATAACCCTTTCATGCCAGTTACTTCAATGTCTTACTTTGTTGACTCCTATGGTACTCTGCTTAATTATTTATAACATAAATAGCCAGGAATAATTTCACTAAACTCTACAAATTATAAGGCACTAAGAATGCACTATCCAATTCAGTAAGACCTTTTCAATAAGGTGAAAAAAAGCACTGTGCTGAGAAAAAGTACCAAAGTACTAAGACATATGTTCTACAACCAGTTCAAAAGCAGTTAATAAACCTCAGTAATTTAAAAGTATCCAAGCCTGAACACCAAAGAAAACTAACTACTTTATACTGAAGTCCAGCACTAAATGTTAAGGTCTAGTGTTCAAACGTCTATCAGTGAATTTAAATTCTAAGCCCTCTTTTCCTTGTTGTTTTCCTAACTCTTAATCATATGGACATTATTTTCACTTTAGTTTTCAGTGGGCTCTCCTTGTCAAATCCTTTTTTTCCCCAAGAGGCTTCACATTAAATGAAAGCCTATAATCCTTCTTTCACCCTCTGGTTTTAATATATCAAAAAACTTTTTCCTATACACAGAGGCTTCCAAGGTCACATAAATACAGTAAGTATTTAAAAGCATACTGTATTTTTCTAGTGTTTAATAATTTTTCTATTGTATAGTACAAGAAAAGAACTAGGAATGCACTTCAATTAGTTTTGTCCCCCTGCTCAAATATACATATAAAATATTAAAGTGATTCAAAGAATATATATAAATATATATTCACATCAAATAACTTTCAATTATAATTACAGGGGAAAAAAGTTTTATCTCTTGATTAACCAAAGATGTGCACACATTTCTGGTGGCTTTCTGACTCTTAAAATTCAGCTTAGGAAACTCGAAATCTTACTGAGTTGGTCTGCCCATGTATATGCCTGGTGTTGGTGTGTGTGCTCTCTTGGTGATAGAATAATCCACCCGAATTCTTCTACCATCCAGTTCCATTCCATTTGCCCTTTCCATAGCCTATAAAAGAGAACAGGCACAGAAAGTCATGCATAACTTACCAAGGGGAAACTTTCAAAATTGAAAATTTGGTAAACATTTAAGTAAAAAAAGGAAGGACTTATATTAATTCCTGCTATATGCCTTTCAAAAATAATGAATTTTCAATGTATACAAGAACACTTAACGCAGGCTTGTGTTAAAAGTTATAAAGAAGCAACCACAGAACCTGCAGAATTCTGAGGCTTCAGAATCTAGCTTCAGTCTGAGCAACTCAAAGCAGAAAGTGCAATTTAGTGAACAGGTCTAAACTAGTCAAGCCGTTCCTTAAAGAACATACTGCCACCTAGTGAGCTTCAAATACAAAGGAATTTACTAATCTGCCACCAAGATTATACCTGTGCTCATATTCCCTCCCTATCATTCTGCCCTTTGGTACTAATACTAATAAAAGCATTAGTAAATCAACCACTTTAACACATTTTAAGAAGCATTTTGGAACTAAGTGAGCTGTCATTTCCGTTTTACTTCATTCAGATATAAACCTAAGGAGCAGGGGTGTCAAAAGGCAGGGCAAACAAACTTCACATTTAAACAAATTTTAATTGTGATATTGTCTGCACTTTTACTTCAGGTCAGATACCCTGCTATTTCTAAATTTACACCTTTATCCTTTAATTGAGAACAGGAAAAAACAAAACACAAATATGCAACAATAAAAAACCACTAGTCTATCAGTATGTCTATCATATAAATCCCTTCAACTGAGACCATTATTTTGTTAGACTTATCCAGGTTTTTCAACGACACTACCGCTGACATTTGGCAGTGGTCAATTCTGGGTTGTCGGGGGCTACCCTATGCATTGTAGGATGTTTAATATCATCCCTGCTTTACTACCAGATGTCAATAGCATCTATTACTGTTGAAAGATATGCTTTTAATATGACTGTTTATACTGTAATCAAACACTACTGATACAAAGAGCAATAATGATCTATACCCAACTACTGTCACATATTAAATGGTACAAAAAAGACAAGCCAGTACCTTCCGTCCTTTAACAAATGAGCTTCAAAAATTCCTTAAAATGGAATTTTCAATTCAATCACCATGAACTTTTGAAGGCAAGCCTACTGCTTCCTCTACAATCCATTACCTAGTACATTAGAACAACACTATTTCAAATCTCTGACACTGACTGGGATCATTCTGTTAGGCATATTAAGGGCACTAAACAAAAATGAAAAGGTACCAACTCTTTCCATGTATTATTTTTCATTCATAGAACAGAATGATAGATGAATATTAAGAGAATAGAAAAACAAAGCTCTGTATAGACATGGAGATAATTAGACACAAAAAAATTGAACAGATTAAACCTAAACACAATTTTTAAAAAGTCAATGTAATCATTTGCTTAGAGCACGAATAAGGCTTTTTTTTCAAAAGAGAACACTTACATACACTTCACCTTTTCCATTTAACTCATACACTACTTCACAAGGCCAGATTTTACTCAGGATATACCTATATGCATTTTAGCTGGAAAGTGAAACTGAACATTTCAATTTTAACACTAACAGGCAGAGTTTAAGTCATGTCAGAGAATTAAAGAGCACATAATGTTTAAGAAACTGTAAATTTATTAATCAACTTTCAAAAGTAACTCAATACTAAATAATGCAGATCAGAAATTTTTCAAAGTGACAAATATAACACAAAAAATTACCTCCTTTGAGTCATCTATTCTCTCGAAATAAACAAAAGCAAATCCTCGTGACCGTCCAGTTCGCTGGTCATAAACCACATTGACACCACTCAATGGTCCATATCGAGAAAATACTTCGCGAAGATCTCTCTCTGTTGTGTACAAACTGAGGCCAAACACTCCTAGACAAGTATTGGGATCAGGATTTGCCTGTTGAATAAAGATGTTATTTAAGTTCCAAATTAAAAAAAAAAAAACAAACACAGAAATACTTCTGCTTAGGGCACTTCACCCAATACACAAAGTCACTTGGAAACAAGAATTTAAAAGGAAAAAACCAGATGAGCTGTATTTTACAGTTCACAGTACACTCAAGCCTTCTTTAGAATATACTTCAGGTTATAGACTGAATAAAAATGTCCCTAATACACTAGTCCAGCAATTTTCAGGACATATACTAAGAATTTATGTTTAGTTTAATGTCTATTACTAGTTTATTCAAATGTTTTATATCCCTTATAGATCTGTACTCAACCTGACTTCATCTGCAATTGCTGATTAGACTCCCCTCTTCTATTTTCACTCTTTAGCAAGGATATTCTTTCCAGATTTGAAAAATTAATGTGCAGATTTCAAAACACCATTAAATAATAGCAGACCCCATCACCGTTAAATACAATCAAACCTCAATGTCACATATCCAAGACTCCATTTCTTTATCAATAATAAGGTAACCTGTCTCACGGAAAGGTTAACTGCATATATTAATGCAGTGAGGAACTTTGCATATTGCTCAGTATAAGTGTTAGCTTGGTATTTCCTTGCTACCCTCTTCCCATGGTAAAACTTTTAATCTCAAGAATATTTTCAAGTTAAGCTTTTTATTTCAATTCTTGCAACATGTTTCCCCCCAAATTTCTTCTAATGACTCCAAAGTCAAGAAAAGAAAATACACTTGAATGCATATAAACAAGATTCATATAGCCAAGGATGTTTCTGGAGTACCACTTCAAAACAGTGCTCTAGCTCTTACAAAAGCAAGGTTTTATCTATGACTAAAGACACAGTAAACACATTAAAAGCTTTCATTAACTTAAAAACCATATACCCTGCTGCCTGTATGTCTTCTCCGGTTAGACATTGGAGAATGACTTCGGCTCCTTCGACGCCGGTATTCTGGTGTGTATGACCTACTTCGAGACCGTCTCCTATGAGAGTGAGAATGGGATCTGGATCGAGTGTAACGTCTATGAGAATGCCTCCTTGACCTTGACCTTTGAGAGAAATAAAATAAGTAAAGATACTGGAACAAAATGGCTAACGCTGTTAAAAATAAAAAATAAATGGACACCAGTTGAAGCCTCTCTGGACAAAAACAGATTGGTCATTATTTTAATCATCAAATACTTGAAGACATCGCCTGCTCACCATATAAGCTGCTTTGTATTAATAACAACATACCACTGAGCCTCATTCCATGTTTGGTTTGAGAGCTCCCTGTTTGTAAACTGTCTTTTTGGTATGTGCACAGTAAATTTTTACAAATTTTGTTAGTGATTCATTAGTTTTACTTTAGCTTTCTGCACTTTTGACAATTCCAAGGACCTATACGTATAGCCCTGCTTGTTTTAGAGGAAAAAGTATTCTTCCTCTTGTAGACTGTATCTCCTCCTAGTTTCCTGTTAACTTTTTTCAACCTACCTTACAAACACATTACGGCTCCACCTTCTTTAAAAAGAAAGGCATCAACTAGTACTAGAAAGAAAATTCTTTAATACTCTACAACATGGATAAACCTTGAGGACATTATGCCAAGTGAAATAAACTAGTTATAAGACAAATAATTGTGATTTCACTTAGATGAGATACTTAAGCAGTCAAAATCATAGAGACAGAAAGAAAGATGGTGGTTTGTCAGTGGCTGAAAGGGGAGGAGAATGAGAGTCCTTGTTTAACTCGCAGTTTCAGTTTTACAAGATAAAAAGATATTATGGAGATGGATGGCTGTGATGAGTGTACAAAAATATGAATGCATTTAATACCATACTCTTAAAATGGAAAAAAAAGACAAAACAAACCACCAACCACCATCACAATAAAATTGTTTTGATTCTTATTACCTTTCCAGTATAGTCCTATATTCCCTTAATGGTTAAGTATCATTTCCTCTCCAGTCTTTCCTTAGCCTGCTGCTAAGTCGCTTCAGTCATGTCCGACTCTATGTGACTCCATAGATGGCAGCCCACCAGGCTCCGCCGCCCCTGGGATTCTCCAGGCAAGAGTACTGGAGTGAGTTGCCATTGCCTTCTCCGCTGCAATCTAGCACCTGCTAAATTAATTCATTACAACCTAAGCTGCCCACCTAACCTAACAGTCCTCATGTTTAATGGTCTTCATTTTTTCAAACCTTCTACAGCATCTCACCGATTTTTCTACTGCTGATTCCCTAGTTCATCTACTGTTTGATTATTTCCAATTACTCATATTCTTTTCATTGCCAAGAAAATGGAATTTTTTATTACTATTCATCTGATTCATCCTTAAACACCCAGACTAGTAGTGATGACAGTCATACAAAATAACTTCTATGAGGCACTCAACAAATGTTATAAATGCTAAGGGCCAGAGAATTTAAACAACAAAGCTGAGAGATTTTACTAGGTAGACACGGTAAAAGTGTTATAGGAATACCAAAAGCAAAGGTTTCCTGGCAAACAATTTTGAGTCGGAATGAAAACAACAGCATGAACGGCCTACTACCCAAAAGAAATTAATCGTGGGGAGGTGGGGTAGAGCAAGAAAAAACTTCGTGTCCATACAGGAACAGGATATTTTCTATTTTCCTTAGCATTAATTTATAGCTTCAATTTAAAAAATATTAATAAAACTAGTTGTTAATAAAATACCAACTGTTACATTTAAATGTGCTGGTCCTAGGTATGGAGGGCTGACTGTACTATGCCATTTTACATAAGGAACTTGAGCATCTCAGAGGGGCTTGCCAGGTAGTACTAGTGGTGAAGGACACACCTGTTAATGCAGGAGACTCAAGAAACAAGGGTTCATTCCCTGGGTCTGGAAGACTCCCTGGAGGAGGAAATGGCAACCCACTCTGGTATTCTTGCCTGGAGTATCCCAGGGGCGGCGGAGCCTGGTGGGCTACAGTCCATAGGGTTGCCAAGAGTCAGACACGACTGAAATGATTTAGCATGCACCCACCACAAGCATCTAAGAATTTGGTATCCACAGGAGAACCAATCCCCGCCCCGCCACAGATACTGAAGGAGGACTAAAGTAATGAAGAGTGGCACGAGTGCCTTTAAGAGTGTCATTACTTAAAGTAATGACTTTCTTTAAGTCAGACAGTGATAAATATCATGAAAAAAAATTAGGAGTGAGGAAATAGAGTATGCGCACTGCTATTTAATGTTCTCCAGTGATACAGGAGCACAAAACTGAATCAAGTGATGATTTGAGAATACCATGAGGGAAGAATATTCTAGGCTGAAAGTACCAACCACAGAAGTCCTAAAATGAAAATATGTTCACTTCTGTTTCCACACCAGAATTCTACGGAGCGCAATTCTGCGCATGTGGATTCAGTTAAATATGTAGAGTGGTTAACAAATCAAGCACCAGGCTGGATCCTGGATACAACAGAGAAAAAGAACTAACTAGACTACAAGGAAAATACAGCCTTTGATTCTTGTTTCATGTCCCCTTGCAAGCATACTCTATCCAGAGACATAAATTATGTCTTTTAACAATGACTCATCAAAATAACTGTCCAGATTGCTTTTAACTGTTCCTCCCACCGCTCCACAACAGTACACCTGAGGTGTCTGAAACTGAACCCTGCAATGGCTCACTAGTCATTGTTGTAATCAGGGGAAGTGGCTGGAACTCTGAATCACTCCAGCACCACTTTCCAACAAGTCTATCTGATCAGAGTTCCACCCTGGACCTAATGAGTCAAAATCTTCAGTTAAGAATGTAGCTATAATGTGAAACTTGAAAAAGCTTCTCAAATCATTCTGATAACCAGTACAACGTACATATATCAACCTTTTCTGAATTAAATTTTATGCCAAGTCTCCAGTGGAGAAAATTATCCTTTTGTTGTGCAAATATCGCTGAAATAAAATCAAACAATAACCCTCAAATGCTAAGCACATTTAAGTCAATCAACACATATTTAATTTGTATTAATAGTGAGTAATAGCTCTAGATTAATAGGGCTAACAAATGATTCTACCTTATCTAAGTCTTTATATCTGTAACATACCATTGATTTCTAAACTCCATTGTTCAAAAAAAAAAAAAAAACCCTCATGATTTTGAGTGAAATTTTCAGAAAAAAATGCAACAAAAAATGAGGAATTTGGTAAAAACCACTGCCCAGAAAAATCCAAGAAAAGCATTTTAAACATACTTACGTATTATTTTAAACACTTACCTGGATTTTGATCTTGATCGAGAATGGGATTCAGAGTGTTTGGAAACCCTTGATGGACTACGAGATCCTGACCTGCTCTCCGATTTTACACGAGCAGGAGTTCCCGTTGGAGATTTTGACTGAGAGCGAGACTCCTAACAAAGAAGACAGTATTACAAATGGCACTGGTCACATAGATGCCTAACACCTAACATTTAAAGTACCGTAATTATTTATATTGATTGCTCCTGAAAAACAAATGGTTAGGCAACACCCTCCAGAAAAAATTTCAGCTCATTAATAACCCATTGTTAATACTGCTAACTGTCCTCAATAATTCCCTACTTGAACCAGATCACCAATTCTCTATTAACTAAGTAATCATGCAAATTCATCTACAACTTGATCATACAGACACTGGAACATAAACCATACATTTACTTAACCTAGGACCCATTCATTCTTCCAGATTCTTTTAATTCTACTTCACTCTTGCTTTCTACTTCTCTTCATTCTTCATTGAGTTTTTCATTTTTCATACTTCGTGTATTCTTCCCCAAAACAATTCAAAATAGCCTTAAAAAAAATATTCAAGGGCTTCTATCTGACCAATCTTCTGTTCAATTTTTTCCCCCATTCAATTTTAATTTTCTGATCTTTAATACTTTTCATTAGCCTTCTTTTATCTTGATTTATCTTCCACATTCTTGGAAAAAACTCTTCAATTTCTTCACGAACATTAACCTTAATGGAAAAAGAACATTTAGTATATTTAAGCACGTGGGGATTATAAAACTCTGCTGGAGTTCAGAATGTTATCTACCAAATGGAAAAGCCAGCAGGTAAAGTGCAAATAACTAGTTTATTAAAAAAACAATTTTATAATCTTTAAAATTGTTCAAAACTCTAGTTTCTAACAATTAAAGAGAATTTACTGAATTTCTCTAAATGTTTTTTACCATACTGTTCACCCTCCTCCCCTTTCAAGTTTCATCCTAGTTCCTAAAATGTGAGCAGTTTTAATATAAATACTTAATTCAAGCATAACTCTAACATTAACTGTAACCCCCCCCATACCTATGTCTTAAGTTTTCACTAATTTATAACCTGAAGATTCCCAATAATCTCAAAATAAGCTTTCTCTAAGCCAGGCTAAGATACCAAGATATAGTTTAAGCAAAGCATCACAGGCTGGAATATCTGTACACACCTATCTAAACTCAACTATTATAGGACACATGCTGAGGTTCAGAGAAGTAAAACACAATTAATAAAATTACTAACATTTCCTGATTGTTTGACCACTATCTTTGCTCACTCTGACTTAACCAGAAAGATACAATCTGAAATAAAACAAGCACACTTTAAAAAAAAGGGGGGGGGGATATGAAATTTAAAAATTTTCCCCTTTGGCTTTTAAGTTTCTAGAAGTTGTATATTTTTGCAACAGAGCCATTTTAAAAATTCTATTTTATCCAATGAAGTATCATAATGTACCCTACAAAATTAGTATCATGGTCTTTATTGTTTATCCTACCTTTTTCATAGTTTTTGCATATTTTATATAGTTATGCATACTTTATATTCCCTTCAGTGACGATATCATTTATCAGAAAACTGACTGGCTTCTAAAAAAACTGGATATAAATCAAAACTTTCCAAGTCAAATAATTTAAAACTTATTAGAAGCCCAAATTTTGATAGATATACGAAGAACTTACGATCAAGGTAGGAGGGACAGTTTGGTTTATCTGTCCATTTAACCCTTGATTATTAGTGAAAACAAACCCGTTTTCCACCAATTTTCATTTATGACATTAAGATTATCACCCAACTTCCTTGAAGTTTTCCTTCAGGCTTAATGTCAAAGACTTATTTTTCAAAAACGGTACTATTGATGCTGCCAGGCCTTTTTTTTTTTCAGATGAAAACAAACTGAAATACATAGCTACCCTTCTGTTCAACATCCACCTTTTCCAGCTATTTACCTACAGAAAGTCTTTCACCACATCTCAGATACTTTCTAAATTTCTGGACAGATGCCTGGAACAGGCATAGCAATTTAGGTTTTTTTCATTCACTGAAACTGTAAAAGCAGCATATTCAGGACTAAAAACAAAAGTATGGCCACTCATTTGTAATTGAAGTCTCATAGGCCAGTTCATTACCTATATTTCATTAGGTAAAAATATACCACCCCCCCCCTCGCTTTTGGCCTTCCCTTATATAAACAGATCCCTTGGTATAAATCTACAAACATCACTACAGACCTTGTTATATACACAAAAAACTTTGTGTTCTGTGTGCTCTGATACTCTTAAAACCTTTAATTTTTAAGACAGAAATAAAAAGTTTATATATTAAAGACTTCTATCATAAAAACAATAGTAGGAAATTATTCAATAGTGCTGAAAGTAACCACTTTTTAGGTATTAACATTAACAAGGTAACTCGGTAACAATTTAAATTTTAAATCTCATTTCTGACATAGCAACCCATTGGAAAATGTATAATCTTCCTTTTAGTTTGTTAACAAAAGCTAAGATATGACAGAGTATCTTTTGCTTTTTATTATATAAGGTGTCACAAATACCTAATCTCTGTTACCTACCTTTCAATTTTTATATCAGGGAAACCTCAAACTGCATCTATTTTTTCATGGAATCATTCAAGGTTAAGAAAGAGTGCTCATAACTCCCCTTTTAACTTATAAAGATGTCAGTCATTTTAACTTCCAAAAACAATTTAGAGATATCTAGCTAAAAACGTAAAACAACTGTCAGTAAACTTAAACTAAAAAATAAAACTCCAGAGCATAAAAAACTTTTATTCTTCACTGTGCATTAGAAATAAGACTATAATAAGTCCTTTGTGGACAAATATTAGATTATTCTTTTCCATCTTTGACTATCTTCATTATGAAATGGTAATATCAACTCTCCCCAAAGAAATTTATACAACTATTCAGAATTTGGAAAAGGAATTAAAATTGCAAAGAGAAAAATAAACATTGAGAAGGGTGTTATCTGTCCCGTTTCACTAGAGACTACTTAACCTACTCTTAAATCTGTCAGTAAGTTCTGCAAATTCTTAAGTAACCTGCATCCGGACCCACCAACCAATATAGTGCCTACTTGAAATGGGCAGATTTATGACTCAACCAAATCATATCACAAATTTTAATAGAAATATATCTTAAGTAGGCTTCTAGTTTACCTTACCTACTATAAACCAGGAGCTGGGCAGAAAGTTCTTGCACAGAACAACCTGCTTAAATAGTGTTTTTTTTTTTTTAACTGTTCTTTATTAACAAGAGGCCTCTAGTGGTAGCTGAAAGTACACAGCCAAAAAGAACGAGCTAACTACGATCACTAAGAAACTACTATAGTGTATCCCATACAAGCAGTCTAAGAATTGTCTATGTATAAATATACCATGACCATGTACTCAATCTAAGAATTATCTATGTGTAAAAATATTATAACCATGTACTACTTTCTAACCAGGAAAAAGGTTTAAACACGCACATGTAGTTGCAGAACATGAACAAATCCTACAGCAAATAACTGCAGTGTCTTTTAATACAGCTAGTATATTATAGATGGAAAACAAATTCCAACCATATGTATGCTTAATACTTAAAGCCCATTAAAATAAACCAATAAAAATGTTACACTATAACCCATTCTAATATTATGGCAAGGCAAATGCCAAGTAACAGTGCCAAGTTTACAGAAGTTCAAGTCTATATGAACATAGTCTAAGGTTTTAAAACAGATTCTCAAAATGTATTTCTCTACTACTTTGTAAAATTGAGAGCTTTCAAACATACTAGTGCATTTAGGTGAACTATATGTGGGGGTGGGAGGGGTTTAAATTACCCAAATAACTTATATTTATTGTACTAAGAACTTCATTCTTTAGGATTTGTGGACAACAGTCTGTGTTTATTCAATTCATGTATTTCCGTCTTTCAGTTTATAGCAGTTCTGCTTCCCTCCTTTTGTGTATTAAGCTGTTTCTTTTATAGATCCTTAAGCTTATAAAAGAAATATTTTCACTATTTTTAATCCATAACTAGTATTAAAGTAATTTCTTAAAAAGAAAATACCAACTGCTCAAAATATTAGCTATTTTTAAATAATTTACCTTCTTTTAAAGTCCAGTATGCTGCATTCTAAGTGAGGTTAAAGTGGTTTTTGAATCTACAGAGGCTCACGGATATTCTAACTTGTATGCCTTTATAGTTTCTAAAGTTTGGAATAATTTTGGCAAGGTGTTAGACAAATTATTAAAGAACTGGCAGTTAAATTTAAACTCATGTCACACTGTGAAATTACCTGTAAAATTTACAAATCTTCCATACAATTTTTATTTATTTAGGCCATGCCATGTGGCTTGTGGGATCTTAGTTCCCTGATTGATCCCTGTGAAACATGGATTCCTAACCACTGGACCACCAGGAAATTTCCTTCTGTACAAACTTTAAACGTGGTTCATAAACCAATCAGCTTATATACTATGATCAGTTGTCCAAAAAGCTAGTGTGTAAGCGGCAACTTCAAAGGTATAGAAAATAAATGTAAAAGGACTAAAGTAGTTTAGCTATATTAAAACAAACCACTAAGAACCCACTACAGAATTTCCTAGTTCTCATCTTTTAGTGTTACGGAGTATTTACAAATCTTGAATAAGACTACAGGGCCTTAGTTTCAAGGAAAAAACTTAACTTTTCTTCTGCCTCAGACTGTTCAGGTCTAGTCTCTCACACTTGGTGAAAATCATGAGACAATAAAGATTATACAGAACTACATTATGGCAGTAACTTGAAGGAAGGAGGGGAACCACATTTTCTTTCATTATTTCCTTCTCAATTTTTTTCTTTTTACAGTGTTTACTGATTCCCCATCCAATCATTACCATTTTCTCATCTTCACTTCTATCCTACTAAACTGGTTACGATGTGTGAATAGTAAGTATTAACTCACTCAGCTTGAGGATACATACCTTTTGTACCCAAAGGGGAGGGGTCTCAGGGTTAGTTACATGATGACTGAGCACCCACTGATGCTATCAAGAGGTTTTCACTGTATTTACAAGCTCTAAAAAACTTATGCTGATTACTCAAGGCCATTTTTACACTTGTATACTACACACTATACCATAAGGACGTAACAAGTTCATTTACAAAATTAAGTCCCTAAACAAAGTTTATCTGTATTTTAAAAAATGACTCTCATCTCTAAATATTAAAATCCTTTGATAGTCTTTCAGATCCCAAGACTCTTTATACTCGTTTTAGGAATGGTACAAATTATAAGTATCTATGGCAAATCTGTAAAAGTAGAGTTAGGCATCCTGGGTGCAACTGGTTGTACTGTTCCTTTTAAAAATTCCACCTTCTGCTTAGATTGTGCAAATGAGCACCCTTCAGTGAAAGAATCTCAAATATTAAAATTTGAATGTTAAAACATTTCCTTAAATTTTACAAATTCTCTGCTTAAATAAATGGATGGGGAAAACAAAAAAGTATTAAAATTGGATACATATTACTTCAAAAAAAAAATTTAACTCAAGAGACACAGACTATTCCCTAAGTTTAATAATACTCCTACTAAAAAAACAGAAGCCTTGCTCTTTTGCAACAGGTTGATGTGATGAGATATGTAAAATTAAACTGCAGGAGTAAGTTTTTTTTTAATTTAAACCTAAACTGCTAACGTTCTTATTTATAAAATAGGATTTCAATTTTATTTGTATTCATTAAAAAAAAAAAAAAGACAAGAGGGTTTTTTTTAAAAAGAAACTAGTGGCCAAGCTGGGTTTTTAATGGCACAGTCATCACCCTTATTATTACAAAAGAGGTTTCAAAGAAGAAAAAACAAAAACACCTTCCCCTGTTTTGTATATTCTTTAACAAAATATCTTAACACACAAATTTAAATTCCAAATTGATAGATGATTTTATGTTTTGCTCTTCACTTTTATTATCCAGTTAATCATCTCATATATTAAGAATGGGAATACTAGGGTCTCTTTAAAATATCCCAGCTACTCAAGAAGCCAAGAACAAGCTCTCAAAACAGGATGCCAGAATAAGTAGTATCCTTCCTCTTCAGCAATTCTACTAAGTATACACAATCATGGAATTATAAGATAGACTCCTACATGATAAAGAATCCTTAACCTAGATTAAAAACTCAGGACCATTGTTTAAAAAAAAAATTGGACTCAATGTTTTTCTAAGTTTCATTTTTAAAAAAATTAGGGAAAAAAAATTAGGGGTAGAGGGGAATAAATAAAATAAGAAGAAAATATTAATTTCTATTCCCCTTAATTTCTATCAAGGATACTAAAATTTTTTGAGATTGAAATCCTAATTTTAGTTGAAGTTGTACACAGCAAACTATTCGTTATTTTTATGAAGATGACATGCAAAGAAAGTCAGCTCAAGTGTCAATCTCACTCCTAACTCCAAATATAGTTTCACTTGATGCACATGTCAAGCAAACTGATTAAATGGACTTATTTTAATAAGCATCGCTATTCTTCTGGATCCCTTGAAATTGTCTTGCTCATTCTTTACATCCCACTGCTACCCAGTTTAGATCAGATTTTTCATAAGCTCCTTCCTTAGATATTTTAAGTGTGCCCTGCTGCTCTTCCTATGCCATTTTCTGTTCTTTGCTAAAATTCCTTTCATTATGCTACTCTCAGAATTAAGAATCTATTGATGACTCCTTACCACATATTGGGTTAAGTCCAAATTCCTAAATCTAGAATTCAAACTCCTCCACTATCTGACTGCACAGTCAAGCCTATGTAGTCTAGCAACCTCCTCGTTGTCTCATTTTTACAATCAATATTTGTATTTCCCTTATCATAATATGCAATGTTAAGTCTTACATACTAAATAAAACTTTTCCTTTCCTCTGGGTTCACAAAATCATTCAACTTCATTTTCTGAATTTCTTATTAATTCTATCATACAGTACTTGATTATATTCTTCTTTTTTGTTTTTTATATTCTTTTACCTAGATTTGAGCTATCAGTTATCACAAATCAGACTCCAAATTCTCTCTTTCGACAACATCTGGTCTTTACAAAAAAGGTAACAGATGCTCAACACTTTCGAAGGGAATATGATTGATTAACTGCTAGGATGACTTTTAACAAAAATTCAGCAAATTATATTTTCCTTCCTAAAGCTCTTTTGTTTTAGGAAACTCAAGAGGTAATTATCTATAATGGAAAATTAAGTTCTTGTAATTGTGTTTCTTAGAAAACTCCATTAACAGCTCTGAGACACTGACATGGAGTGTGCTCTTTTAAGAAAAGTAATCAAAATATATACATAGCATATTTCATGCATGCAATGAGCAATGGATTGGGACTTGCAAATCTCAGATTCCTGGCTGCATTGTCTTTTGGGTATCTGTTTTTAATTTCTAAAATGGTTAAGAGTTCTCCAGCCATTGTAAATTAGAAAATATGTCAAAGATGGTGAGGGGGGAGATTGTAAAACGTAAAACTGTAAAACTATAAAAGTAGGAACTATTAGTATCAATCCTCTTTCTTTAATATGTTCCAAAGTTTCCATAGAGTCACTCTCTAATTTTAAATCTTTTCAATAAGATATGGTTAACCTATGTTGTTTATTCCTCACATAAACGAAATGAAATCTGAACACTGACCTATTGACATTTTCTTTGTTTTAATAAAAAAGTTTAAAGTATAACAACTACTTAAATCATTTCAGAAACACCATTTAAAAATCCTTTTCTGAGACTCTCTAAAACGTTATTACATTTACATACAAAGATAACACAACAATTGTATTTTATAAAACCAAGGTCACTATAGTTTAAAAACTAAAAGCACTGCTAAATATGAAACTGCTTCAAGAGAACAAAAAAAAGTACATCATCAGAAAACTGTCTCCCACTCTTCTAATTCTTCTTCCAATTACGAACAATTACCTCAACCTACCAAAAAAACACAAAAAACAAAAGGTAACTGGTGAACGTACTGAATTCATTAACTTGGGTATCAGATGTGAAAAATTATTTCCTATGACCATGAACACTGTAAAAGAGGAGGAAAAGGTAAAAATGCCTTTTCCTATTAAAATATATAGTTAATGCCTACATGCATTTTAGCTTAAAACTGGGTAGGAATCTTACATATATTACTTTCTTGGCTGGGTAAGGTAACAATTACCTAAAACTTGCCAAATTTCTCAATTTGATGACCCTCCCCCCCCAAAAAAGGTAAGACCTCAAAGGAAAATAACGTCCCCAAAGTAGTTCTCTTCAATTCCCCACAAACCAAAACATTAACTCCCCAAAATTGTACTTAAGTTACTGACAGTAAAATTTCTTCCCATTATTAGCTAACATTTTCAAAACAAGCAGCAGCTTACAACTACCTATTACCAAATACTACATGATTTTTTTAAAAGTTTTCTTGGGACCATCAATACCCCACCCTAAAAAATGAGCAGGTAATTCATTGATATCTACAGGCTTTAGATTTTAATAGAGAAAACCAATCTTAAAGGCATTCAAGATAGCTTTTTTGTCTTATCCTCAAAAAGAACAAAAGTCTAAATTGACCCTCTTCTGGTTTAACCGTCTGTTTCCAGATGCTTATGAGCGTCTAAAAAAAGACAAAACTCATTCCTTCCAGCACACACCTAAAGTGTTTTTGATGCGTTTCCCCTAGTGACCAGAATGCCAACACAGGAGCCAGAAAATGCTGCCTGGGGATTGTTTTCTTTACAGGGCTTTACACTAACTCACTTCCATCAATTTTCACTAGAGGGTAACTTCCGAAATAAAACCCAATCACTGCTAAACGTCCTAGTATCTTTAAGCTGAGGATAAGGTATCTTTGTGATGTTTATACCCATCACACCCAAAATAATGAAAAACTTCGAGCCCTCTTTGCTGAAGGATGGATCGAGAAGAGAAATGGGAGAGAGAGGGGCTGGAATTTTCAGGTAACCTTTTTGCGTTAAGAGAATAGCACAAACTATTGTAAAAATATTGAGCAATGAAATTTGTTCAGTTATGTAAGATTAAGACAGAAGAGTCCTTTTTGTTTTTTACCATAAAAACCTGTAAAGGAGTGGTGAGTGTTTAGGTTAAAGGTCATAGGAGGAAAAGCATTGGAAGTTGAGATATAAAGAAGAAAGAAAAAAAAAAGCCCAACATTAAGGAATTAGAAAAATAAGGCGTTATAGCATTTCCACATTCATGTTGAAGTGAAAAGAAAGCAGAAGGGACATTAAAGGAGAAGGGCTCCTTGCGTAGTTTTCCCCTCACAGCTCTCGTCTTAAGAACGCTTAAGGGTCGGTGCGGTCGTTGACTAACCACTTCATTAGGCTCGTCCCACCTTCAACCTCAAGGCTTTCGCCTTTATAGACGCAACGCTGCCGGTTCCAACAGAGACGCGGCCGCTCACTGCAATAGAGAGCCAAGGAGACACAGGCCCCAGCTAGTCCCGCGCCAGCTTCTCCCCGCCCGGACAGCAGCCCCGCGCACTTTCGACCCCGAGACCCTCTACGATGCTCGGGGTCGCCAGAAACGCCACCGCAGGAAGCACCTACCACTATCCGGCCGGAGGGGAACTCCCTGCCGTCTCCTCCCGCCCCACTGCGACGGGGACCCAACACCTTTGAACAGCGATAAGGAAGCCTCGGGGTGGGGAGAAGGCAAGGTGCCCCGCGGGGTGGGTGGGAATCGGACCCAGGAGTCCGGCTATCAGTCAGTCTCCAAAAAAGGGGGAAAGGGGGGTGATCCGTGGTATTTGGGGCAAGAGTGTAACCCAGAAGCCATCTTGGGATGTGAAGAAGCGACCTCGATGGCTCCAGAGGCTGCTCCCAGCGGGCCCCCGCAAGGCTCCCCGCAACCCCGCCCGACCGCGCTCGTCCCCGTGAAACCCCGAGCATCGGGGCGGCCGCCGAAGACGGCTCCCGCGGCTTTGTACTCACTCTGCCCTCGAAGTTGTTCTCCTCTACATCACTCATGTCGGCCAGGCGCTCCCCAGAACTAAATAAGAGACAAGTCTCGGCTTGAGGGCCGATGGCCTAATCAACCCGCTGACTGGACCGTGGGGAGGAGGAAAGAGTCGGCAACAACGGCCGCTCTACTCCACTCCCACTCGGTCGCAAGCTCCGGCAAAATGGCGCCGGCACCGCCAGAAACCTTCGGGCCTCTCTAGTGTACGACGTAGGGGGCGGGGCGTCTTTGTGACGTCAATAGGCCCCGCCCCCAAGGAGGCTTTGTGGTGGCCTGGGCCTAGCAACGCCCGCCGCAGAAGCTCTGACCCTCGGTGCCTCGGAACCGACCGCCCACCTGACGTTCCAATTTCAGACTCCTTAAGCGTCAGTCCATTTGAAGATTTTCACTCGCCACATAAGCTTTTACTGACTTTGGTCCCTTTATATGTTTTCCAAGTGGATTTAGATGGAACAGAAAAAACTGGAATCGTCTTCATAATTAGTAGGTTTTTTATTTTGAATGGTTTCAGTCAGCACCCAACTTTTCTTCAGCATTTGCTCTCATGCTATTGAAGTAATTTATTCACAGATGGGATTTATAATGAGTTCACTCCTCCCTGAGACAACTGTGTCTATTTTTAAAATAATCCTTATTTCCCTGCTCATCTTTTTAAATTAATTTATTTAATCATATATTTATTTTTGTGCGGGTTTTAGTTGTGGCATGGGGACTCTCAAGTTGAGGGGCGCTGGTTCAGTAGCCCTGAGACGTGGGATCTTCGTTCTCTAACTATTCAAACCTTGTCCCCTGCGCTGGAAGGCAGATTCTTAACCACTGGACCACCAGGGAAGTGCCTCTTCTAATCTTTTTTAACTCAGATGTTTCTATAAATCTTCATAGTCAAAACTCCCAAGTCTGTCTACTTGGTTTCAAATTGTGGTGATACTTTCTGAGATGACTTTGAGCTTTAGTTGCATTTTGCATTTTTAAGATTAGTTTCCTCATAAAACTTTTTTTCCCATGATACTTTTTGATGAAAGGTTGATGTGAACCTTCAACCACAGTTCTATGTTAGGAAAGGTAATTGAAAAACATTATTAAGATTGCTACCCCTGGTCTAGATTTCAGGACTTGACTGTGTCTGCTGTTGATAGAGCTGTACATATATACTATCTGCTTTAAAATTTTATTTCTGTTTTTGGCTGCACTAGATATTCTTTGCTCCCTGGGCTTTCTCTAGTTGCCAGGAGTGGGGCTGCTCAAGCACGGCCTCTAGGGCTTGTGGGCTTTCTAAGGCTCGTCGGCTTTCTAGGTGCAGGGCCGTAATTGCAGGGCCATAATTGCTCAGCGTAGTGTGGAATCTTCCTGGACTAGAGATTGATCTGATGGCATGTCCCTTGCATTGGCAGGTGGATTCTTAACCACTGGCCAACCAGGGAAATCTTATAACATTGGCTTTGTAAAGAAATATTTATTGAAATATAGTTGATTATAACATTGTGTTAGTTTCAGGTGTACAGCAAAGTGATTCAGTTATCTATCTACATATAAAATTCATTTTTTACAGTCTCTTCCACTATAGGTTTTTATAAGCTATTGAGTATAGTTCCCTGTGCTATACAGTAGGTCCTTATTGGTTATCTATTTTATATATAGTAGTGTATGTATTTTAATCCCAAACTCCCAATTTGTCCTCCACCTTTTCCCTCTGGAGCCATAAATTACCAAACTGTATGACTGTGAGTCTATTTCTGTTTTATAAATAAGTTCGTTTGTATTAATCTCATTTTTTAGATTCCACATATAAGCGACATTATATCTTTCTCCATCTGGCTTCATTTAGTATGATAACCTCTGAGTCCATCCATATTATTGCAAATAGCACTATTCCATTCTTTGTTTTTAATTTTAAATTTATTTTTTAATTGAAGGATAATTACTGTACAGAATTGTGTCCACTGTGTGTGTGTGCGTGTGTGTGTGTACACACATACATATATATGTATGTTGTTGTTTAGTCACTAAGTCCTGTCCAACTCTTTGCCATCCCATTTTCTTCTCCAAGGTGTGAATATATATATATATATATATATATATATATATATTCCACATCTTTATCCGTTCATCTGTCAATGGACAGGTTACTTTCATGTCTTGGGTATTGAAAGTAGTGCTGCAATGAACACTGGGGTGCATGAATCTTTTCAAGTTATGATTTTCTCAGGATATGTGCCCAGGAGTGAGATTGCTGGATCATATGATAGTTCTGTTTTTAATTTTTATTTTTAATTTTTTAATTTTTAATTTTTAAAGAAACCTCCAAACTCTCCACCAATTTACATTTCCACCAACAGTGTAGGAGGGTTGCTTTTTCTCCACATCCTCCCCAACATTTATTATTTGTAGACTTAAAAAAATATTTATCCATCTGCTTGGCTGTGTTGGGTCTCAGTTGTGGCACATGGGCTCAGTAGTCGTGACACAGGGGCTTAGTAGCTCCACAGCATATGGGATCATAGTTCCTTGACCAGGGATCAAACCCTCGTCCCCTACCATGCAAGGCGGACTCTTAACCCATTTTTGATTGGGTTGTTTGATTAGATGTTTATAACATCTACTTTTAAAAAAGATATTGAATTTTATAATGATGGAATCAGCCAGATACCATTTGAAGCTCCCTTTACTAGGTCTTGTTGCAGCATGTGGGATCTAGTTCTCTGACCAGGAGTCAAACTTGGGCCCCTTCCACCGGAAGTGTGGTGTCTCAGACACAGGACCGCCAAGGAAGTCCCTCAGTCAATCTTAGTACCATTAAAAGTGAGATACTTCTTGATGTGATGAAGTAAGAACTACAAAGCACCTTCTTTAAGTATTCATGATTCCTCCAAATTCAACTCAAATCTGATTAAGGCTTAGACCTAACCAGCAATTTATATGAAATACAGGTGATAGAAAAATAAGTTTAAAAAAACCGACCAAGAAGAAGTAATCAGGTTTCATAGGACAAATAACCTAATTTCCCCAACAAATTAAATAAATTTAAAAAGAAGGGTGTAAGGGGAAGGTGGGCTATCAAAAAGTAAGTCTTAAAAGATATAATCAAATATGTGCCTCTTGATTTTGATTCAAACGAACTGATTCAAGACACCAAAATTTGAATTAAGCCTGGGAATTTGTTCATTTTCAGGAATTCATATTAGTAGATGTAATAATGTTAAGGTGGATATGTTTAAAGAAAAAAAATCTTTACTACAAAATGACATCTTTGACTTGCTTTAAATTATTCCAGAAAGAACCCAAATAAATAAATAAATATTGTGAATATAATGAGGTTGCTGCTGCTGCTACTGCTGCTAAGTCATTTCAGTCGTGTCCGACTCTGTGTGACCCCATAGACGGCAGCCCACCAGGCTGCCCCGTCCCTGGGATTCTCCAGGCAAGAACACTGGAGTGGGTTGCCATTTCCTTCTCCAATGCATGAAAGTTAAAAGTAAAAGTGAAGTCTCTCAGTTGTGTCCAACTCTTCGAGACCCCATGGACTGCAGCCTACCAGGCTCCTCCATCCATGGGATTTTCCAGGCAAGAGCACTGGAGTGGGGTGCCATTGCCTTCTCTGATAATGAGGATACTTATTGTTAAAATTGGGTAATGGGTATGTAAGAGGTCATGATGGAAACAAAAGGATTATTCCTTCCACTTTTTTGTTTGAAATTTTCCATAATAGTTTTTAAAAAAAAATATTGCAAGAAACTGCTTTTCTTGTGTCACATTAAACTGATACAGAAAGCACTTTCAAAAAAAAAGTCAAAAACTGTTTTCACAACTTTACAAAAATAACATTTCAGAGACAGTATTTTGAAGGATAATAATTATTTGAACAAATTTTTATTTTTCTCTTTTCATTTTGAAATAATTTCAAGCTAATTTTTTTTTAAGTTGTAAAAATAGTACAAAGAATTCTCTTCACTCAGCTTCCTCTAGTGTTTTTGTGTTGCACATTGTTGTTGTCCATTTGCTAAGTCCAGTCTGACTCTTTGCAACCTCATGGGCTGTAGCACACCAGGCTCCTTTGTCCTCCACTATCTCCTGGAATGTGCTAAAATTCATTGAGTTGGTGATACTATCTAGCCATCTCATCTTCTGCCACCCCCTTCTCCTTTTGCCTTCAATCTTTCCCAGCATCAGGGGCTTTTCCAATGAGTTGGCTCTTTGCATCAGGTGGCCAAAGTATTGGAGTTTCAGCATCAGCAACAGTCCTGTCAATAAGTATTCAGGGTTGATTTCCTTTAGGATTGACTAGTTTGAATCTCCTTGCAGTCCAAAGGACTCTCAAGAGTCTTCTCTAGCACTACAGTTCGAAAGCATCAATTCTTCAGTGCTCAGCCTTCTTTATGGTCCAACTCTCACATCTGTACATTATTGCTGGAAAAACTATAGCTTTACTATACAGACCTTTGTGGGTATAATCATCAAAACCAGGAAGTTTACATACTATTAACTAATGTGCAGACTTTATTCAAATTTCATTAATTGTCTTACTGGTCACCCTTTTCTGGGCAAGGATCTAATCTAGGATTATACATTGCGTTTAATTGTCATCTCCCTTTAATCTGGATAGCTTCTCAGTCCTCGCCTTTCACCTAAAGTCATTGAAAGTTTTGAAGAATACTGGTCAGCTGTTCTATCAACATACCTCAAATTGGGTTTGTCTGACATTTTTTTCTGATTAAATCACTGTTAACACATTTTGGCAAGAGTATCACAGGAAAAAAAAAAGTATCACAGAAATGATGTTGCATTCATCTCAGTGTATCATATCTAAAAGTTCATGATGTCAGTATGTTTTGTTACTTAACCTCAGTTACTGTTTATCAAGTAGTAGTTGCTGGATTTCCCCACTGTAAAATTACTTTCTTTCTCTTAGTAACGAAAAAGTGTCTTGTGGGGAGATTTTTTTGAGACTTTGTAAATATCCTCCTTCTCAATACTTTCTTGCCCACAACAAGAATTACCCTACCATTTGTCG